CATGCCAACAGAGGGAATAAATCAATAATTGACAAAAATATCATGCCTTTTGTTTTTCTCACATTTTGTATTTGTCTCTTGGTATTGAAGTTGCAAGGGAAACTAAAAAACAAGCAACAGCCACTGCAACCATATAACGTCTTAACCGACAACAATGCACACTGAGCTACGAGTGAGGATACCACATAACTTTAGTTATAATGCTGATTAAAAAAATTACCGGAGAAAGTGTCAAATTTAGTCAAACTAAGTCTATGCTATAGAGCTTATAAATATGAGCTTCAATATCTGAATAAACAGAATCAGTTCTTAACATTTCGCTATGTTTATTATGGTCAGTTCAACACCTTAAATTCAATGTTATGTTTGCCACAAAACCCTACTCCAGCTCAACTCTTTGGTGGCTATTATTAGTAATGTGTTGCATATTTTAAACTCTACAGCGGAAACTGTTTAGCGGGAAATGCAAAGCAAACACTATGTCTGAAAAGCGATATACAGTTAATTGTAAAATCAATACACTTGAGAGTAACCAAACTGTAATAAAGAGCAAACTGTAATAAAGAGGAATTGTCTGACCTTCAATTTCCCTTTTTTAGTTTTTTTTCTCAAAACCACAGATCTTTGGTTATTTAAGGGATGATCGGTAAACAAATCTCCTGGTTGCTTTGCAAGTTGTGGGAACATTGTTTGGATTTCATTAAGAGAACATATGAGGAGTACCCCCTCCTCACTGGTCAATATGCATGATACTTGCATAGAACTGCAGGGTAATATAGGATAATAGAAGTAGTTTTACCAGTGTAACTTCACTGCTGGTATTGCTGTCCACCAAAATGAAGACTTTAAGGGGCTGTGTCACAATTTTAGTATCATTCTGTGACAGTTGATTTTACGCTATTTACCACGCCACATTACGAAGTTCATTTGGAAATTGGGTACCACATCATGAAGTAACCTAATTACATGGCAAGTGTATAGGAAATCAATTGCGAACAACGAGATGTAGTTGTCAACTTTGGCGCAACTGAACTTCACAAGTCTGCTCAACAGTAACTTTTTTTACCAGTTGCATTAATCACTGCATGATCAGAGTTCTTGTCAAAAAAGTCCCTGTTCCTGGGATCACAGTTACTGCAAACATCTACATATAGATATTCTTCAAATTTTTCTTGAGCATTCACAGTAAAGCATTATTAGTAGTAGTACTCCTTTGGAACTATTGTCACTTTTTGTATGAGTAACCCAAATCAAGTGTCACTACACAACTTATCGAACTATTACGGAACGGTGCCTGTAGATCCAAGTCGCCCACAAAATCGCGGGTCCCATGACTATTTGCGTGCTCACAAAGGGAGCCGACGCGTGTCGCGTTCTTTGATTCAAGACTTAAGCGTTAGCGTATTGTTTCCACGATACAAAGGTAATTTAACTTAAGAAAACCAGTAGATCGAAGCTTTTGCGCTACTCTCTCTTTTCACTTCATAAAATATTTTAACGATTAAGGCCAGCAGAATGTATAGAATGCCAGAAAACAATCAGGAAGTCAAACAGTTTTGAACTGCGCTAGAAGTTGTTTTTTTCAGTATGCAAATCACCTACCCAATCACTTACTTTCCATCGAACTGAAATATCCTGACTTTATTTACCACTTTTCAATTTGTTTCGTTTCATTTTATATTATTTTGTGCAAGCTGAGTTCTTTCATACGAATTTATGCTTTCAAAAGTAAAGAAACTTCGAGGAAATGTTGTGTTTACAACTACGGCAATTTGCATCTATTTCGCTTCACTTACACTTATATGCAAATTACTGTTCATCCGCTGGATTTCGCTGGAGACAAAAATGTCGATGTTGAATTCCCAGATGTTTGCGCTTTTGGGGAACCCTTTTTATTCTGGCTATCACGATAGTAAAGTCATGTGAAATCAACTGTAATTACACCTATATGTCCGTATCACATTTGCTATGAAACTTGAGAAATTACTTATCAATCACAGCTTTGTGTCAACAAACGTGACTCCCAGGCATTATATCAAACATTGAAGACCACAAAAATGAAATCTGGAAAACTGTTAGGCTAACAAGTTTCAAAAGGACCAATTGCCATCCTTTTCAATTTTCTTCAAGTCTGTCCATCTGTTCCTCATTTTAACACCAACAACAATCTTTATTTGTACTCACTCTTGCTCTTTGCTTTGTTACTGAAACCTTTTCTCGTTTTGAGCATTATTTTTATGTTTCACTGAGATTGGTGGTGGTTTCCACTGTTGTAGTTTTAACAAATTTCGTGACACTGCTCCTTTAAGTTTGCCAAGTACTAGTTATTGATCAGTGATTAAAGAACCTTAGATTTGGTATCAGAGCAGCTTACCTCGTCTTGCTATCTGTATTCTCCATCACAATATTCAGTCTTGGATAGCCTTAGCACAATCAAACACTCCAACTTTCAAATTATTCTTGCCCATCATGAGGTTTTTGTCTCACATTCTGCTCAACTGTGTCAGAAAAGGGTCACTTTACGAGGGAAGCAATTGATTGCTGAAGGCCGACGCGTCAACAAATATACATAACAACCCTTAGATGTCTTGTGGTGCAATTGGAAAGCAAAAATGTACAGACTGCACGCTCCTAGAACCTACAGAAGTTGCATATTTGAAGGCATTGCAATCACTCTCAAAATGGACGCCATTCTCGTCCCCAGAGCCACTCAGCTTAATTTGTAACCAATAAACGACGCGCAAAAGAAACGTCCGCTGACCAGCACTCTGCTCTGTTCTAGGCCCCATTCTCCCCATTCTCTCTTGTTTTCTCAGCCTAAGATCATTTTATTTTTATGCCAGTACTGATTGAGATCAATGTGGCAACTATCGACAGCTGTTGGTATTCTCTGCGATTTTAATCACTTAGAATTGAAAACAGTGGCAACCTCGCGTACTTAACGGTCGTTTCATGCGCGTGAGTATTTAATGCATGAGAACCGTTTAATGGCCTGATCTTGAGAGTAAATTTACCTTTATTCACCTTGATTGTACGCAAAGGCAAAATTTCTGCAACATTGATCATGCAATCTTGCACATGGGTTTAAAAAAACGTCACTGGAAACGTAACGGGAACTAGAAAGAACGGAAATGTGATAATAGAAATGTGGCGGAAACATGATCGTTCGTTTCCGACTCGGAAACATAACAGAACGCGTCCCGTTCATAGAAAACTAGAACACCATGTTTCCATGTTCGTCCTGTGCAGTGATAAGGAGGAAGGTGGAACTTCCAATTTTTCCCTACGAATTTTCAGCAAAGAACACTTCAGATAGGTAATGCCTCAACCGAACGGTGAAGCTCGCCATGCCCCAGGTATAAGAGGTTCCAAGACTTGTCATTCCAGAGCCAGCGCTGGGAAGTGATGTGCCTGCACCACAAGCTTGACAACAAACTCGTCAATTGACGGCTGAAGAGAAACTTGAAGTAAAGATTTGAGTCCTGGCTACTCGTTTTTATCCACATGGTTGTGTAGTTTTTTGGCATTAATTTCTTTTCATGTTGGTCTTCTAGCATTTTCTTGCTCCGGTTTGGTTTGTGATATTCTTTGAGTTCACGACAGGTTTTTGTTGTCTTGTGCATGGTTGGGTTATGTAAGAAATTATGTACCGACGCTTATTCTAAAGGGCATCCGTGGTTTGTTTGCAGGTTTTCTTCAGTATGTCCTTGGGGGTTCCTTATTGTTACTTCCCTCACAGTTGGGTTTTTGGGTTATACATTGGAATTATTTTTTAATGTTTGTAACTTGCCTGTTATTGTAAATAGAGTAGATTACTTTTATTTATACACGGTAGTGTTGTTTGGATAGGATTGTTGTGGCCAGTGAGGCGATTTTGATTTGCCTGCTATTGTCATGGCGTGATTCTCTCAGCAAGGTGTCTGTTTAATGATCATGACTGTCAAATGTTGTATGGCCAGTAAAGAATGTAATTTGCTTGTTGTCATGACAGAATTGTTTGCATAAAATTGTTGTGGCTAGTGAGGCAATTGTGATTTGCCTTCTATTGTCATGGCGTGATTCTTTCAGCAAGTTGTCTGTTTAATGATCATGACTGTGAAATGTTTTATGGCCACTGTGTGATGTAATTTGCCTGTTATTGTCATGATGGGATTGTTTGGATAGAGTAGTTGTGGCCAGTGAACCAATTATGATTGGCTTGCTATTGTCATGTCGTGATTCTCACAGCAAGTTGCCTGTTTGATAATCATGACTGTGAAATGTTGTGTGGCCAGTTTCCCTGTTGTTTTAATGGAATTGTACGGATAGAATTGTTATGGCCAGTATGGCAATTGTGATTTGCTTGTTACAGCGTCATTCTTTCAGCAAGTTGCTTTGTTGACAGTCATGACTTTAGAAAGGTTTATTTGACCAGTGAAGCGTGTTATTTTGTTACTGTTTTAAATTTTTTTTTATTAGATGAGAAAAGAATCTTTATTACAAAACCTCAATTAAAATCCTATTTACAATTAACCTGCTGTTACAAAAAATCTAATTAATTCATCAAAAACACTATCTACAATTCCATCCGTTACAAAAGAAACCCCTGTTACTGTTGTTACTGTTATTTGTCTCATATTTTCTTGGCATAACAAACCCAGATTAGCGAGTTAACGATTGTGACTGTTGGGCAACATTTGGCCAGCGAGATATGTGATTTGCCAGTTGTTCATGTGTGGCATGAAATTTGCTTGTTATGACCAACCGCTGAATATTGCCTAGAATTGATAATTAACTTGTACAATTCCTTTGTTTTTAAATTGCGTTATAACACTTTGGCACAATGAACGTTTTTTTGGTCAGTGAGACTTGAGGCATGTTTGCTAATGCCGCTGTTAACGCCTGTGAAACTGAAAGGGAAACTTTTTTGTGGTTTTTATAATGAGGTTTGTATAGAATTTGTCTCGGCTTATTGCTCTCCATATGCATTGCAGGTTAAATATGAGGAGTTTAGGAAGTCCATGGATGCCCTCTCCAAGTCCTCCGTGAACATCATTCTGAAGAAGATTCTTCACCTGGCTTCCTGCCCTGTTCCGGAGTTCAATAGGTTTGAGGCCCTAGACCTCTTAGAAACTTTAAAGAATGCAGCTGAAGATACAAAGCACAAGATAGCAGGTTATTTTCGCCTCACATTTGAGACTCTACGTGGGGAAGTTGATGAGCCCAATGACTAGTTTCTTAATTTTCTCTTTCTTTTGCTTGGCGATAAGGACCAGGAGAAGGTGTTAGTGGTGGTGAAGATTGAGAACAATAATCTTCGAAAGTCAGTGAGACAGAATTCCGGACCTGGTATAAGAGCCATGGCAGCCCCTTATATGGGGCCTTGTTGCTACTGTTGTAATCGCCCTGGGCATATTCAGATAAATTGTTTCAAACGGAAAAGAGATTTGGGCGGGCCTTCTGGTTTTTCCCATGGGGCTCTTCAACCAAATGTTAACGTAAATCACAACAAGCAGAGAAATGACTGTGTTAAGTTTGAGCAGTTTATAATTTCACTATTTCATTGTATTACATATGACAGATTGTTGGTAATAATGATAAGAATGTTGGAAATAAATGATTTTCTCTGTATTGAACAGCCTATTAATGTTCCTACATTCTTTCCCTTATATAGATAATAAGTTTTCCAGGATTTGCTTGGAGTGACAGTTATGAAAAAGAGTATCTAAATTAAGTCCCCCGGTTATTATGGGTCATGACTTTCACCCTTTGCTGACCCCGTCGGTTCCCCCACTAACATTCTGTTTTATTCATTCTTGTTTGTAATCAAAATGTTTTTCTTTCCCTTCTCAGAATTCTTGTCGTTTGACTTGGGATTGGGAGTAAGACTCTGAATTTGAAGGAACATTTCACGTTCATACTCAGTATTCGCCTAAGTCAATCAATTGGTTTGATTGGTTGGGGAACTCAGTTGGGGTCGGCACTTGGGTGGCAGTCTTACAGCTTTCGAGAGAAGGAATTGACCAGATTTGCCATGGACATAAACTTGGAGACCCTGCGACATTGCGGTTTAGAGACCCTGCTACTTTTCGTGCTGGAGAAGTTTATAATTACTATTGTCAATGGCAGGATATAATTAGTGGTTCTCCGTCTGCTCAACAAGTTCAGGTTTTAAAATGGATAAAAGATAGTCTCAACTTTTTAATACCCTCAACCCTTCTCTGGTAGTTTCAAGGGGATACCGTACTGTTTGGATTATCTACCTTCTGAACTTTTCAGGAATTATATGCATGTAAGCAGTTTGTGGATTTTGTGAGAAGCACATTGCTTGATCGCTTAACCTTGGGGGCAATTTCTCTGAAGGGTAAAGTGGGAGAAGTTGATCTGCCCCATCTGGTCCTTCCTCTGACAGTGGAGCCCACGAAGCCGAGACTATGCCATGATGCTTGTTTTTTAAATCTATGGTTGAGGGACGTGCCTTTCACGTTAGATACCCTTTTGGATTTACTAAGATATGTGGGCCGTAATACCTATAAAACAATACTTGATGACAAGTCGGGATATAACCATCTCCTCTTGTCTGTGGAAAGTATAACCTTTTTTTGGTATGCAGTGGGGTGGGTGGTAATTTGTTTATAACATCCTACCTTTCAGCCGGAAGCTATCTACTCTTTGTACACCACTCCACTGGTTTAGTGGTATCTAATTTCTTCCGATCAATGGAGATACCTTGTTCATTGTACATCAATGACCGACACAATGGCCAATTTCAGACCCTGCCCAACCAAGGAGCCTATGCAAACTTTGCAAATCTTGATGGACATATTTTAGCAGCTGTAAAATCAGCTATCTCTTTGGAAATCTCACGTTGGCTTTTTCTGCGTACGTGGGATGACCCACTCCCCTGGAGAGATGAACATCATATCCGCATATCCTTAGCAACAGATGCCTCGGGTTGGGGTGGTTCAGTAACTTTGAGTGATCGTACGGTTGAGGCCTCTGACTACTGGATGAAGGAAGAGTAGGAGCTTGATATCTGCACAAAGGAGGTACTGACCTTGACAAGGTTATTCTTTCCTTCTCTGACCCTTTAAAGAATGTATGGATAGACGGCCTTGTTGGCAATCAGGCAGTGGCTACTCCTGCCAAAGACAAGGGGGCAGTAGTATGTCCTTGAACAGGGCGATAAAGAAGTTATTTTTCACAACTTCAAAGTTGATTATCGCCCTCCCTCTTATGTATATCATATCAAAGAAAATGAACTGGAGGCACCCTCTCGCCGTCTGACAACTCTTGATTGCAAACGTCATCCGAGTTATGGCATAGAGTGGAACAAGAGTTTGGTTAACATTGTTAAAGGCTACTTGATTGATTACAATGCATTCTGGACCAAAAAAATCCCATAATTCAGGAAATGTGTGGGCCAATGTTCTCCCATTGTTTAAGATTAACAGGGGCATTAAAAACCCATCTTTGGAGTATTGCTATCCCAATATAATCCCATACCTCGGGTTTTAAGTGGTCCAATACTATCCCTTTAATGGGATAAAAGTGGACCAATGTTATCCCACTAATTGGGGATTACCTGGGGCAATAAAAGCCCATGGCTGGGGTATTACTGTTCTAATATAATCCCGTACATTGGGTTTCAGATGGCCCAGTATTAACCTACTATTGGGGTTCAACTGAGACAATTCAATCACATTTTGGGGGTTTTTGTGGCTTGATAAAATCACATTAATGGGATAAATATGGGACGCGAAAACTCCATTCCAGGGTTAAAGTTGGTACAATAAAATTCCAATTTGCGGGTTTTTATTTTGTTTCTTGATCCCAACATTGGTTTTGGTAGCATTTTCCCAATTTGGGAAGTTACAACCAAAACCAAAGAAAACCCCACAAATTTCCTCTTTCTTTCCCACTTAAGGAATCACCCAAAATTCCTTGTGTAAAATGTCTCTCCAAAGAAAGACGTCATGTTTCTCACTCCATTTCATCAAGGGGACACCAGGTAAAAACAGGAAAAAGAAAATAAACTGATGCTGAATTCTTGTGAAGGCAGGAGATTTCTTCAGCATTTTTCACAATCATTCAGGAAGGCTTAAATCAACTCGATGGAGGTCAACACTCGCATGTTAATAAGGTTCACTTCAAAATTTAAAAATACGAAATCGAAGTTCTTCTACGTGGCATTTAACCAACAAAATTAATCCTATTTCACACGAAACTAACCTTTTCTTCACTACTTAACCTTCCATTGCCATTTTTGACCACAATGACTTGAAAACAGGTTCGACAGCGCCGTCTGCCATCGACAGAGATAACTCAACCAAGTTGCACCAAACTGCAGCAAGTTGCACCAATTTGCACCAAATTACACCAAGTTGGACCAAGTTGCACCAAACTGCACCAATCTGCACCAAGTTGTACCAAACTGTACAAAGTTGCACCAAACTAAACCAAGTAGCACCAATTTTTTAATTTTTTTTTTAATTTTTTAATTTTTTAACGAAGACTAGTGAGCAGCACAAAGGAAGACTTCTTGTAGTTGTAAGCTTTTTCATTTATTTCCGACGGCACCGCAGAAATACGTTTTGTGACGTCACAGCACCTGGTCAGCGGTATTTGAGTTTGTTCGATCGGATGAAAGAGATCGCTTCCTTCGCTGCGTCTCCGCTTGCACGTGTTTATGAAACGTTGAGGGCGTGTTTATCGTGGAATTTCACGAGCAGTCTTCGCCTTTCTGAGACTAGCTTCCTTTAATCATGTTAAAAGATCGTGACCGAACTAAAGAACCAGTAAATACCGTCAAAGCGAAGTAACTTCGTGTGGGCGCGTTGCCTGGATGCGTGTCAGTACAATGTGCCAGAAGCTACAATGGGGAGCCAGAAAAACAGAAGATTTTAAACAATAAAGACTGGGAAGGTTTTCAAGTGTAGCATTTGCATTTATAACTTGCAATAGAGGTAAGACGCTTTTTGAGAATTCATAAATAATTTTATTGGAGGCGCTAAGCTTACTCAGCTCAGCTACCGTTTTCATGATATTTTGTCGAATCGAATGTTAGAATTTAAGCTTAAGACTTAAAAATAAACGTAAGTTTAAATAATCTGCAGTTTCATAACTATGCCTTTGTCGACTTGGTTTAGCCGTCGACTTCTATTTACATATCAGTGATAATTTTTGCTTTCCGTTTCACATTAAGCTTAAACAATATTATTAGGGGTATACAGTGTAATCTTAATTACAGTATAAACTTAAGCTTTAGCTTAAGTATTATTCATGTTTTCTCGAAACATTACACTGCCGTCTTACAAACAGTGCATCATTCATAGTCGCTAAAGACATTACTATACATTTCATTTTTTACACTTTATGCACTCTCACATTTTCTGAGTTATATTTACCAATAGACCCTTGACGCGTTTATTTTGTATATGTTGTAGTTCTGTGAAAAATGACCTATACACAGTACCTTTGACAACTGCATTCATCAACAGTCGATGTATAGGCAGGAAGGTCAATAATTTTTTTAGTTTTGACTGCAAGTTGTAAGTAAGTTCAACAGTAGTCAATTGACCTCTAAAGTGATACCAGTCTCCATTTTTTAAATCAAGTGGCAATATTTTTACACCTTTTGTCATGATTTCATACACAAGAAACCGCCTACTCTTCATGAGATTCTGCCTGGGCATTGACAGCCAATGTAATCTTATTAACTCTTTCTCTGATGTACTCAATGAATTGTGGTGACTTGAAATACTTGTGGTCTTTTGGTACATCAGGTATTTCTGGATTGGAAGAATTGTTGCCATCATCGTCATCATCATCGTCATTGCCATCACCACCATCTTCCTCAACTTCATTCAGACCGGACAAAAGGCGAATGTTCCAGGCTTGGGACAGCTTCTGGATATCAGCAGTCAAGTTACGAAGACAAATGATGCATCCAAGACTGTTGCCATTCTCATCGGACATGCAGGGAGAATGGAATGTATGGCCACATGTCAGTCGCTGGATGTTTGAATGAGAAGGATGA